ATTACAGAGTTCCATTCACACATAGCCATTTTCCAAATGGCAGGATGTATCACAAAGTGAGTAACAGTGATTCTGGGAAGGACATGAATAGAACATGATTAGTTGCCTCACCTCAAGGAGGGAAGGTCCTGGAGAACTATACTTCTCAGTGGTCAGCCTTCCTCTGGTGTTCTTAGGTCCCTTTCAACTGTAGCTGATCCTGCCTCAATTCATCCATGTTCCCTGGATTTGCTCTGTACCAAACACTTAGATTTATTGATCTCATCCTGGTTCAGATCTCTAGGTTTGTTTTGAAAAGAACTTCCTTTTTTTCCCTCTGGCTGTTCTTCCTCTTTTTCTTCCTTCTCCTTTAGACTCATAGACACCCAGTTCTGGAGTCCCAAACATACTCTCCTCAGTTTCCCAAAAGGCCTAGGCAGCAGTTTTCAAATCAGAATTTTCTTCACAGTCCTCTGGGGAGAACTTGTAAACACTACAGAGCTCAGAGTTTCCTTAGCCTTTTTGAAATCTTTCTTGCTACTAAAGGTATGATGGAGGGACAGCCAGAAACTATTCATTCATTCATTTATTCATTCATTCAGCAATTTTTGAATGGAAAATGTGTGACGTGCCTGGCTGTGTACTTAAGGGCTGAAGATCCAGATGTAAATAGAAAAAAAGTTTTGCCTTTAAGGGATTTATAGTCTGGTGGGAAGTAAGTGGGAAAGATGAATGAATAAAGAAAGGCACTAAGGCACAGAGGAGAATCTATTTCTGTTTATGAGACTTGAAGCAGAGAGTTGAGGACAGGAGTTTCCCAGGCAGAGAAAGACATTCAAAGTAGAACTAGCTTGTGCAAAGGTATGGAGATAGACGTGAGAGAGGTTAGCATGAACTGAGAACTGCAAGTAGTTCCTCATGTGTGTATGGGGAATGAGAAAACAAGAAGTAAAAGCTATGAGTGGTAAAAGAGTAACACAAACTTTCCCAGAATTAAAAGACATGAATTCACTGAGAGTACAGGCTGAGAGGATTCACTGAATGTCCTACCAACGAATGGTAGGAAGCACTTCTAAACACTCTTCAACATGTCCTATTAATTTCAGGTTTCTGGAAAGGAACACAGGGTTCTCAAAGCTTTCAGAGAAGTAACAGTATAAAAAGAATTAGTTACCAGAGCAGCATCAGGCTGCTTTATAGCCACATTAGAAATTTAGAAGACTATGAAATAGTACCTTTGAAATTATAAGGAAGATTATTTCCTCCATAGAATTGCAAACCCAGCCAGGCTACCGGTGAATGAAGACATTTTTTTTTTTATAAATTAATTTTTATTGGTGTTCAATTTACCAACATACAGAATAACACCCAGTGCTCATCCCGTCAAGTGTCCCCCTCCGTGCCCGTCACCCATTCACCCCCACCCCCCGCCCTCCTCCCCTTCCACCACCCCTAGTTCATTTCCCAGAGTTAGAAGTCTTTATGTTCTGTGTCCCTTTCTGATATCTCCCACACATTTCTTCTCCCTTCCCTTATATTCCCCTTCACTATTATTCATATTCCCCAAATAAGTGAGAACATACACTGTTTGTCCTTCTCCGATTGACTTACTTCACTCAGCATAATACCCTCCAGTTCCATCCACGTTGAAGCAAATGGTGGGTATTTGTTGTTTCTAATGGCTGAGTAATATTCCATTGTAAGAATGAAGACATTTTAAGACAGAGTCTCGATTAAACCAGGAAAGAGAAACCAGGGGATTGAAGGACAGGGCTTCTCACAAAGGAGAAGGTGAAGGAAATTTTAGGATGATGGTGAATAGAAGTCCCAGTCCAAGTCAGGCCTAGATAGCAACCATCCAGCCAGATAGAATCAAGATGAAGAGTACAGGGAGAATGTCTCTAAGAAAACAATATAACACTTTCCCCCAAATTACCTGATGTTTTTATTTGCAGTTCTTGGGAGAGTTTGATGAGGTATGTAAGTGCTAAGAATATAAAAAGCTAAGCCAGGGGGTGCCTGGGTGGCTTAGTCTGTTAAGCATCTGTCTTTGGCTTAGGTCATGGTCCCAGGGTCCTGGAATTGAGCCCCGTGTGTTGGTGTCTCTGCTCAGTGGGGGGTCTGCTTTCCCCTCTGCCCATACCCCTGCTCGTGTTCTCTCAAATAAATGAAATCTTTCAGGGGGGTGGGGTGGAGTGGGAAGCTAAGCCAACAACAAAACAGAGAAACTAATAACTCTAGGAGAAACAAAAAGTTATCCAAGAAAGGAAAAATCATTGAATTCTACACAGTACTCCTGGGATTATTTACTTTGTTTACAATAGTTAAGACTACTGAATTGATTTAACTAAATGTTACAGTATAGTTGGAAGCTGGGAGCACTGGGCAAGTGTGACATATTTTTATGCAAGGAGTAATGGGAGTATATGGAAACTAAATTCTTTTCTTCCACAGGGAGAAATGAATAGATAATATCTGTAATGGAACATCAAGAAATAGCAATATGAACACATTTTTTAGAAATATGGAAGTAAATAGAAAAAATGTTAAAGGAGTTGAAATTAGTTTCCTCTGGAGAGAGATGTGGATGTGGGGAGGGGTAGAGCAAGAGAGTTCTGTTTTTTTTATTATAAGCTTTTTAGTCCTATTTTATTTTTATACTTTGATAAAAATAAAAAATGATTGATAGCAGTATAGACTTAGCATTGGTAACACTGAGGGAATCTTGCAAGTGGTGTTTTGCATTTTGTTGAACAAACTTTTTAGCTTGCATATTCTATGTTCCTACCTTTGGCACATTCCTAAATATTATTTAAACTTTTATTTCTTCTTTTTAAAGATTTTATTTATTTATTTGACAGAGAGAATGCACAAGTAGGAGCGAGCACAAGCAGAGGGAGTGGCAGGCAGAGTGAGAGGGAGAAGCAGGCTCCTTGCTGAGCAGAGTCTGATGTGGGCCTCTCTCCCAGGATCCTGGGATCATGACCTGAGCTGAAGGCAGATATTTAACTGAGCCACCTAAGTGCCCCCAAACTTTCTTCTTTTCTGTAATTAACTGAATATGAATTGAAGCAAAAGTTAGTAAGGTAAATCGTTGACTCACATATGTGTATAGCTTTAAAGTTTTTTTCCTCTGTGGTTTTATGTAGACAGTGAGCTAACTTTTAAACTTTATATGACAAACAAACAATTCTCTCTCTTGCCTTCTCCCCAGAGTAGAGCAGAGTTTGACTTTGTGTAAGAAATCATCATTCTCGGGGCGTCTGGCTGGCCCAGTAGGTAGAACATGTGACTCCTGATCTCAGAGTTGTGAGTTCAAGCCCCACACTAGGCATAGAGCTTACTTTAAAAGAAAAAAAAGAAGAAGAAGAAATTGGCATTCCTCAGTGACATGGTGTTCCTAAAATGGGATTGCTCGTCAGCTGCACATTAAGATCTCTGAGCCAACTGTGTACATCACTCAGCAGACCTTCCAGTTGTTTATGAAGAAATTTTGTCAATTTATATAGATACAAACTGCCTCCTTCACCTTTTTATTTTGAAAATAATCAAACCTCAAGAGAAATGGAAAGACTAGTGAAACACTCATACAACTTTTACCTAGATTCACCAGTTCTTAACATTTTTGCCACATTCGCTTCCTTTCCTTCTAGACCCATGCACTATTTTTGGAGGTGGAAGGGGAGGGTCAAACCATTTTAAATTAAGTTGTAGGCATAATGCTTAAGTGTGTCCCCCAGTAGATCTCCCAAGAATAAGGACATCCTCTTATCAAAGCAAAATACCATTAATATCCACGGATAAAATAATAGTACCTAATAGATAGTTGGTATTCAAATTTCCCCAAAATCCCAGTAATACCTTCTATAGATTTTGTTTTTTGACTCCAGTATCCAGTTTGTGGTCATGCATTGCATTTAGTCATCACATTTATTTCTGTCTCCTTATGCTAGAAGTTTTCCTGCTTTTTAAAATAAACTCTCATGACACTGACAGTTAGGAGGACCCCACCCCAGGTGTTTTGTATACATACGGATTTATCTTTTTGCTCCCTCATTGTGAGATTCTGGTTTACAGTTTGGCAAGACTATGTATACAAACTTTTGTTATCCGCCTGCTTTTTTTATGCAGGTTCAAAATTTTAGTCCTTTGTTTTCTTGTTTGTATGTTTTTATTTTGTTTTTCCTGCTGGTTTGTGGTTCAGCACGGTGTGTAAGGAATGACCACTTCCCCAGATAATAGTAAAACTCCTTAGACCGCAGAAGACTATCACTGTAATAATCTCTGGGAGGGGTAATCTGTTCCTCTGGAGACAAACATAATATTTTTTTTAAAACATTCTTGGCAGAGTTCTTTGGATGACTTAATATATTGTAATCAGGGGCAAATTTTCTACTCTTTAATTAAATTCTGCTACGGTGTACAGCCCAGGGAGCCACTTGTAGAAAACACTTGGCCGGCTTCTCTATCATCCCTAAATGGAACCTTGGCTTTTGGGATATAAACCCTGAAATTGGCGTTCAGTCTGCAGTATCGTGGCCCTGCTCATGCCAGGATGCCCAGCTGGTTAGGTTATGATGTATATTTTGTGTGCAGTGCGCACAACGTGGAGAGCGGGCATGCCTCGGATGCCGGAAGAGCTATGCAAGCCTGCTGTTGAAAGCATGCCTCCGGTTTGTCAGGCTTCGTGATAGACCTGGTGACACAGTAGCCTTTAGGCAGAGCTGCTCTCGATGTGCAGGAAGCACCGCTACAGGTTTTGTCAGGGGGGAAATCCGAGCCATTTCTCTGTGAACAGCTGTGTTTCAAAGTCTGGACAAGTTGCTGTTGACTTTTGCATGGGCTGCCAGGGTACGTGTTTTCCTTCTGATTTGTTTACAGCCTTACTTTCCTTTCTCCTAAGTCATCCAGGTTCTTTCTGGAAGTTTCACAGCACTGGCTACACATTCCCTAACGTGGGATTCGGAGGATTTGTTCTAGTATTTTTATAATCCAACTTTTCTTTTTCTTTCTCTCTGCAGATTTTGTGGGAGTCTAATACTTTGTCATTATGAGATGTCGTCTCTCGGTACCTCCTTTGTGCAAATTAAATTTGATGACTTGCAGTTTTTTGAAAACTGCGGTGGAGGAAGTTTTGGGAGCGTATATCGAGCCAGATGGATATCACAGGACAAGGAGGTGGCTGTAAAGAAGCTGCTCAAAATAGAGAAAGAGGTAAGGTCTTTTTCTGCTCTCAGAAATGGTCGTGATTGCACTTATGTAAGCTTTTCAACCGAGTCAGAGGTCACAGGCTGTCAGGGACCTAGCAAGCGAGGCCTTTGGGGCTGATCCATGAGGCTGTTTCCCAATTTCCATTCTGGGAGCCCCATAAATAGAAATCACTGCCACGTGTGTGTTAGGGTTGAGTTCTCCTAGGGGTCATCTGAACTGAGAGGATTTCTTTCCATGGCATGAAAGACCGAATGTTCTCTGAGCTCTCATCGAGGGGGAAGGTGAGGCTTCAGCCCTTCTTAGGCTTCAGGCTTTTCTTTTCCCTAGGTCAGCCGAGAGGGGTCAGTAAAGAGTAACGTGTGAAAATTTTATTCCCTTTCTATTTTGGGTTTCGTGAATTTGTGGCCATCAGGAATTGTCTTTTAAAAAATACAAAGCATTATTTTTCTACTGAAATATACACAATAATAGTTTCTTGGATTTCACCTCGAAGCCAAAAGTGATGAACTTTGTTTAATGAAGAATTAACAGATGCTAGACAAAGAGCTGCCCTATTCAAAAAATCAGAAAAGAGTCTTGGCTTCCAGAGTGTGGGACTTGTGCTGGTCCTTCATCTTCGGTACATATGCCCTTCATCTTCCTTAGAAATATGACACAGCTTGGTCACCACGTTCAGTTTGGTACCTGGAGAGTAAAGCTAATTGTGGAGCTGACCTGCAGGGGCTCAGTGGCAGTGATAGCTTTTAACAGCTAACCTCTGTAGCTTGCTTTGGTCATTTCTATTTATGTCCTGTTTTGGCTAATTATTGTTTTTTTTTCCCCATGTCTTTTTAAAGTGAACTTTCCATAAATATCTTTTAATCTCCCCTGGATGATTTCTTTCTTTCTTTTTTTTTTTTTTCCTTAACTGTTGTCAGTGAACCATAGCAATTGATTAGAGAAGGAAACCCAAATGGCAGCACTTTGTGGCATTTCCTCCCAGCAGTGCTGTGTGACTGTATGATCACCAGCTGGGTTTCCAGTTGTTGAAGCCAGATGAGAAGGTCTAAGATATTTCTGCCTTGGGGTACCAGGAGGTTGTGGAAAGCATTATGGAGCGATAGCTTTTAGTGCCAGTGTGTGCACTATACAGAAGGGTGCTAGGTAGAAAAATAGTAGCCAATTAGTAAAACCATTTCTTACTCTGGATGGACCTAGCTTCTTTTATCTACTGAACTTTTAAGCCCTTTACAGGCAAGCATTATTGTACCCATTTTATGGATGGGAAAATAGAGATTTGAAAAATATATATATTTTTTTTTTTAATTTTTTTTTTTATTTATTTATGACAGTCACACAGATAGAGAGAGAGGCAGAGACACAGGCAGAGGGAGAAGCAGGCTCCATGCACCGGGAGCCCGACGTGGGACTCGATCCCGGGTCTCCAGGATCGCGCCCTGGGCCAAAGGCAGGCGCCAAACCGCTGCGCCACCCAGGGATCCCTGAAAAATATATTAAGGTGCCTCAGGAGGGGCAGTTCAAATCCAGGAGATCAGAACCCCTGTTCTGTGGTTCTTAACTCTGAAATCTGTAGTTGACCAGATTGGGGAGAAAATAAGCCAATTCTATCCAATTTATATTCAAAATATTTAAGCATGCTAATATTTATAAGCATTAGGTCTTGCAGCTTCAGTACAACACACATGCTCTAATATGGTTATTGAATGTGAGAAAGACTTTTTGAGTCATGAAACAAATTTTGACAGGAAAACAGTAATTGCAACCTATTTGTCCCCTCCCCATAATACCTTTTTTTTTTTTTTTTAACTATCTTTGAGAAGCTAGGAAAATGACATAGGAAAGTACAGGGGTGAAAACTACAAAGGAATTGGAAACTACACAAGAATTGGAAACTAGACAGGAATTGGAAACTACAAAGTCCTGCTCTTATGTAGGATTTTAACCTAAATGTGTATCATTCAGAAATTAGGTGTCCAAAAAAATGACTTTTTATGGCAGTTTTTTCCAACCCAGGATCCAATCAGGATCACATATTGCATTAATTGCTATATCTGTTTAGTCTGCTTTAACTGAACATTTTCTCCATTTTTGTCTTTTAAACTTGGACATTTTTGAAGAGTGCAGGACTGTTTTGTAGAATGTCCCTCTTTTTGGGTTTATCTGATTTCCTCTTCCTCTTGCCTAGTTTAAGGTTATGCAGTTTTGAAGTAGGAATACTTCACCGGTCATATGCCCTTGGCGTATCTTAATGGGAAACTACGATGTCCATTTGTCTTGTTACTGGTAATACTAATTTTGAACCCTCGACTAAGAGGGGTTCACCCAGTTTCTCCATAGTAAAAATACCTTTTTTCCATCTGTAATTAATAATTAAGCTGTTGGAAGATACTCTGAGGCTATGTAAATATCTTCTCTCAACAAAAGTTACCCAATGTTTTAAGCATCTGTTGGCAATTCTTGTTTGAATGAGATATTATTATAAAGCAAAAAGGTCTAGCATAAGTGAGAGCCGTCCTTTCTTCACTTATTTATTCACCTATTTCATTCATTGTTTCATTGTAGACTTTTAGATTCTTTTTAAAATTCAAAATGTTACATTATATTACTGTTGTTATTCCCTTTCATGCTGAAAATGTCCCAATGCAAGAGTCCCTTCAAGTTAGTTCCTGTGTCCTTTTGATGTCTCCATCACTTTTTAGCATTTTCTTATTTCCTGGCACAAGATGTTCCAGGCTGATCTCGTTCCTGCAATCAGCCATTTCTTCAAGAAGCCCAGGTTCAGCGTACCTGATTTGAAACCATGATATTTAGAAACCAAGATTTGGATACTCATTTGGCTTAATGTAGACTTGCTTTAAAAAAAAAAAAAAAAGCCTTTGGGAACGCCTGGGTGGGCACAGTTGGTTTAGCATCTGGCTCTTGGTTTCTGCTCAGGTCGTGATCTTGAGGTTGTGGGATTGAGTGACGTGCAAAGTCTGTTTGAGATTCTCTTCTTCCCCAGCCCTTCCCTATCCTATACTCACTCTTCCTCAGATACGCAAATCTTAAAAAAAAAAAAAAAAAATTTAAAAGAGCCTTTGTTCTTTAGGAGGAAGAATAATTACAGATAAATTTTACTTATACAAGCATTTAATTGAAGCATTAATATGGCTAGCTATGATTTGTAATCGTGTGTTAGGGATGTAAATTGGTAAACTACTTGGAAAGAGATTAGCAAAATGTATCAACAATCTTAAAATATTTACTCTCTTTAAGCCAGCAATTTTACTTCTATGACTTCATCCTAAGGAAATAATCAGAGATATGCAGAAAGATGGATATAATAGGCTGCTCATCTCAGATGGATAATGGTGAAGAACTGGAAACAACCCAAGTATTCTGTAACAAATTATCTTTTAAATTATGCTACTTCTCAAACACACACACACACACACACACACACATAGGCAAATATGGGAGGTGATAGATATGAAAGGATTCACACAGTGGAAGTAACACGGTACATATGTGTAGTAAAATGTTTTATACTTTTAAAATATTACAATTTTATTTGTTGATTATGCCTCAGTAAAGCTGCAAAAAATTATTCTACATCTGTACGATGGAATTCTGTTGCATTTGGAAGAATATTTAGAGAACTAAGGAAATGCACGTTATTATGTCGCTAAGTGGTAAAGCAAGCTACAAAGCATTATACATACATAGTAAGGTTTTGGGTGTCTGCTTGGTGTCTGTTTGGTGTTTTTATTTTTTTCTTATACTTCTTTTGTTTTCCATATTCTTCTATAATCTCATATTTCCCCTCAACAGTTTATTGTGAAAATTTCAAACATAAAGAAGAGTTGAAGGAGTTTTCTAGTGAACATCTATATGTCTACCATCTAGGGTCTGTCATTAACATAAATACTTGCTTCATCACATATATATTCAGCTATGTGTCCTTCTATCCATCAATCCATTTTGATGCAATTCAAAATAAGTTGCATGCATCAGTACCTTTCCCCTTAAATACTTCAGCATGCATTTTATTACCAGAGTTTAGTAGGTGTTTACTGTTTTGTTTCCTTTTGAGGTAAAATTCACATACAATGAAGTGCACAGATCACTCAGTTTTGACAAATATGAACACTGCGTGAGCCATATATTTACTTTTATAATTGGAAAAAAATAAAAAAAATTATAGCTCTGACAGTCTATGTCACTTTCTCAGGATGTTCAAGTGAATGGAGTTTTATAAAATTCTTCAATATGTCACAGATTACTAATTTTCCTGTCTCAATATGTGCGCCTAAAATGTTTAATGTTTACTTTTCTATCGATTTTTTTCAAAGAATTCTTCAGTGCTAATTTAGCTTATGTTAGTTGCAGATTTACTTACGGTGCACTATTTATTTTTGTTAAGAATTTCAACAGGAAAAAAATAATATCTGAAGGATATTATTATAAAGGTAAGGAAAGAAGTCATTATCGTATCTTTTTGGTAAATCTCAGATGAGTTGAGATCGAACAGTATTGTTCAGGCAGAAATTGAAGCAGGAAGTGGAGAAGGCAGGGAAAGACATTGCAGGTCAAGGTCCTCTTTCCAAGCACTGACCTCACACAGCACAGAGAATTAGTTCATCAGCTTCACGACCCTTTTAGAAAGGCTAATCACAACAGCTTCATTTTGCTCTTGCAGTATATTTAATGATATGTTAAACCAGACATGTCTGCACATGATATGTTTTTCCAAGAGATGGAGACCTGCGAGCATTTATATTACCTTGACATCCGTGGGTATCCTACTGATAGTAGGAAACCAGACTTAAGTGTGAGATACGAAAATGATTCTTTTTGTTTCCCCAAAAGAACTGAAAGGAAACAGAGTATTCAAGAGGTGAAATATGAGGATTTTTGCCTTGCCTTTTGCAAAGCACCACTCCCTTTATTTAAAAAAAAAAAACCACACACACACACACAACAAACTTACCAAATTTGTTGTAGAAATGTTGAAATCCAGATAA